TGGTAAACTGAAAACTCATGGCACTGCTGCATAAAGCACCCAGTGTATGTTTGGAATTTGTCCTTTTTCATGGAATCATAGAGTCACAGACTGGTTTGGGTTGGAAGGATCATCCAGTTCCACCCCCCTGCCATGGGCAGGGACACCTTCCACTAGCCCAGGTTGCTCCAAGGCTCATCCAACCTGGCCTTGAACACTTCCAAGGATGGGGAGTCCACAGCTTCTCTGAGCAACCTGTGCCAGGGCCTCACCACCAATATAGTAAGAGTTTCTTCCTAATATCTAACTTTAATCTACTCTCTGTCAGTGTGAAGCCATTCACCCTTGTCCCATCACTTTTTACCTCTAAATGTGATTTCCAGTCCAGGTGCCTGCTGGGCATCAGCTGCCTGTATCACATCACACAACACCAGGGGGTTCTGAGGGCCTTCTGTTCTAAAGTATGTCTTAATAATGTAAAGGGTTTCACTTCCAAATTAATTAGAATTTTTTTAAAAAAAAATTACTTCATAATTGCATTTACTTTTCAGACATTTGTGACAACCTGCTGGAACCTGTCCAGGCTGCCAGGGAGTTCTGCTAAGCTGCAGCACCACTGCAATTCTCCATATTTTCCCTTTTTATCCCTTTTGGCCACTCAGGGGTTTTTTAATGATTATTTGATTGATTGGGGTTTTTTTGGTGATTTGTGTCTCTAGGGGCCAGGCATATTCTAGGCAGAATTCTTATTAAAAGGAGGACACCTCTTGGTGCTGCATATCCACTCTTAAGAATTGGAATGTATTAGCTGAGAGCCCTAAATTGCTATTTCCACTTTGGCAGCCTACCTTTGATGTCTCACCAGCTCCAGTTTTAGTTGTATAAATCCACCTATTGTCAGCCTGTCTGGGAGTCAGGCTCGAATGTGATGCTTTTCCTTTTGTGTAAGATCCTCATGTGGTGGTGGATCAGCTGGAGTTGCCGTGGATTGCAAGCAGGGGATGATCTTGGTAACAGGTATTAAATACAGTCTCAGATCTCCTGCACACTCACACACTCCTGCCCAGTCTGTGGAAGTTGCTGTGCCAGGGCAGCCTTTCCTTCAGCCTGCCTAGGATTCGTAAACACGCTGGGATCTCACTGAAGCAGCTTTGTATTGAGGATTATGATTTGTATGCACTTTTACAAACTTACAGTAATTGCTGTTGCCTTCATTGTAAAGAGCAAAATATAAACACACACAATAAACCCCTTTAATGGGCACTGATCCCACTGGCACTGATCTTGAGCAGCTCTGAATAAAAGCAGATGGTAGCAGGCTGACTAGGCTGACCTGCTTTCCCCTTTCATGCAAACATTGCTTATATAAATGGGGGACACACACAAAAAATTAATGGGCTTGGGCAAGCCACCTAAGGACAGAGACTCCCCATGTACTTAATGCTTACATCAGCCCCAGGGCTGTTTCCAGTTAGTTCTTCTCTGGAGGGAGAAGTTTCTCACAAATTAGTGGTTCCACAGCTCTGAGCCCATGGTTTAATAAGAAAGAACTGATGTGCCTCTAGAAAGTAAGTGTGCTCAGCTGTTCTGTGGCCTGTGTGTTGTGGTAGGTCATGGAAAAGGATCAGAACACTCTCTCCTGAACCTGCTGCTCATTTATAGACATATAATTGAGTCTGAAGTCCCTTTGCACGTCATCGTCTGTCATATGTTGTGAAGAGGCATTGGATTTTTATGGTCTTGTACTGCTTTAATTCACGTGCCTGTTTGTTAGCAGGGATGGTAAATGAATTTAAATTGAGATTCCTGGTTGTTCTAAATGATGTGCCTCTTGTCACTATAACAAGATGTGATCAGGGGGCTGGAGCACCTCTGCTATGGAAACAGATTGAGATGAGAAGAGAGACCTTAGAGCACCTTCCAGTGCCTTAAGGGTATATAAAAAGGAGGGAGATGGACTTTTTATATGGACAGATAGTGACAGAACAAGGGGGAATGGTTTTAAACTGAAAGAGGGCTGGGTTCAGATTAGAATTTAGGAGGAAATTTTTCCCTATGAGTGTGGTGGGGCCCTGGCACAGGTTGCCCAGAGAAGCTGTGGCTGCCCCATCCCTGGAAGTGTTCAAGGCCAGATTGGACAAGGCTCGGAGCAACCTGGGCTAGTGGAAGGAGTCCCTGCCCATGGCAGGGGGGTTGGAACTGATCTTTATGGTCCCTTCCAACCCAAACCAGTTTGTGATTCTAAGAAATAGCATTCCCTTTTTCTTATCCAGAAAGGCATTTGGTTGGAGTTACTACCTCCAGGAGCGTGCTGTAGCCACTGACAGAGAGTACAAAGGCAGTTTCCTGAATAAGATATATTTACAATATATTTACACTCCTCAGTCACTCTCATTTTCAGCCTGGTACATCCATGCCAGCTAAGCTGGAGTCAGGAACCATTCCAGCTCTCTCAGGTAGACCTGCTGCCAACTGTGTTAGTTCTGTTGGCAGATCTTCTAGGATGACCATCCTTACTGAGATTAATGGTCATTTAAGTAGGTCTCTTGTCTCTCTTTTCTTTTTTTCTTTTTAGTTTCTTTTATAAAAAGCATCAGTACCAGAGTGGGAAGTCTTGCTGCCTTTGGGTGCTGGCAGCACATTGCCTGGATACTGTGTGGTGACAGGTGAAGACAAGGAGTATTACAAACACATATTTCAACTTGGAGGAACATATATAGCACTGTGATAGGAGAAATGTAGGTTTGATTTCTTCAGTATGTGCTGAGTTTGTTATATTTTTCTGGTTGGCAGGGAAGGCAGATGTTGTCCTTTATAATTCAGTGGCTCGTGCATGTGGGAGAGCAAAGCAACAGAAGGAGCAGCTTCTGCTTTCCCTGCTGTGGTGGGTCTGGGGAGCCTTGGGCAGAGGCAGCTGGACTCCCTTCAGCTTTACCTGTTCTTAAATTGCTCTCAATTCAGCTCTTTAAAGCACCACATAAAACCTGGAAGGGTCCAGGTGTGAGTGTGGGGAGAGAAATCACTAGGACAGGAGTGTGTGTGCCAAGTGTTGTTAGCTTAAGGTGAGTGGTGAATAACCCCCAGATGCTCACTATCTGCCCCCAAATCTCTTCTACAAAGGAGATTGGGGATTTACAAAAAAAAAAAAGGTAATTAATAAAAAATAAGGGAATTAAGAAAACCAAACTAGCCAATAAAGATGGATATTTAGATGATTTGTGTCCACAATCAAATAGTATTTTTTAAATTTTACTGCTTGTTATATTGTGGAAGGGCTTGACTGGCAGGCAGTTTTCATGCTGGTGACCAGTGGCATTACTAGGTACTTTATTTTCTTATTTTTCCAGACACTTTAGGAGTAAACAGACACTGTACTTCATGCAACAAAGAGAAGCTTTTCCAGCACCACCTTCTCAATACAGTGATACAAAGGCTGCCTATAATTAAATGTAACTACATGTTTCCAGTGCCCGTGGGATTAGTTTCTTAAGACCAGGAGCCCAGGAGACTTTCAAATACAGCAACAGCATGGAGTAAATGTTATCGAGGATGTCTTCCAAATGAAGAATACTATGTAAATAGTGGTAATGCTGCTCTTTGATAACATGCTGATTTAGAGAAATGCAGCCTGCCAAAGCATTTTTCTTAAAAATAGGGTAAGGACTGGTGGGTGAAGATTAAAGTTGTCATGCATGACCTGTTGCTCACTGCTGAGGCTGCACATGGGGCTGTGTTTTGTAATAGTGTGGAATAACGTGTCCTAACATAAAGCTTGAGCAAAACCCTTTTCATCTTCCATAAAACTCACTTCGTAAGTAAAATACAGCAAATCCTCATCTCTGAAATACCACTTACAAATGTGCTTCTGGTGACTGGGTTTGCAAGGAGCAGTAGTGAATGATGGAGATGGGTTAAATTTTGTCTGTGGACTACTGTGTTCTGGTTTTTATCACAAGTGCTGTCATTCAGGGGAGAAAAAAAAAACCCTACACCTAGAAAAGCTTGATTTAGATTTAGAACCTTTGTATCTGTGTTGTCGCTCTGCTCTAATCTGAAACTTATGTTTTGCTTTTAAAGAAAGAAGAACTGTTTTAAGCCCAGTTCTAAACAAACTCGGTGAAAGTTGTTGAGTGTGACACAAAATGTGGAGCAGTTCTGTGAAACACATTTTTTCCCCCCCAATGTTTTGGCTGCAGGGAAGTAACTGTTTCTCTTTGTGTAAGGCATGACTTTGCCTTTCTATTAACTCTTCTTTTTTCTAAGGGCAGATAGGCATTTAGTATTAATACAAATTAATAAATCATCAGCCATATGTGAACAATGAAAATGTGTATCTCACATTTTCTGAGTCTGGTATAATTGTAGTTGTGTTTTGGTTCAAAATTAAGCAATCAAAGCAGGTTAGACTTAATATGCACTGATCTGCTGATCTCCATCCTAACTCAGGTTGTTACAGCAATGTAATAATCTCAAGGTTGCACATCATGACCTTGTTTTATGCACTACATATTGCAAGATCTAGGCAGAATTATGTTTGTTTAAAGACAGTGTAACAGCTGCAGTGTTGGTCCTTGTCAGGCCATTCTATCTTCAGTAGAAGTAAAAAGCGTTTTTTGGGAGTTGCTTAATTTCTGACTTTTTTTTTTTTAGTGTGTTTTTATAACCCTAAAACCATAATTGCAGATCTTGAGAAAATTGTTTAATTTACTTAACAGCTACCATTGTGCCCCGTTTGGCAAATCAGAATTACAAATGGGAAATATTTACTAGTTGGAGTTACAGTGTAAATACCCCATTAACTTCTCCGAAGTGCACGTTGCTGATTTCAGTAATTGGACCCGCTCCTAGAGACAGCCAAGCAAGGGAGATTACCCAGGGAATGCTTGTTTCTGAAGATGCAGCTTCCTTCCTGATTAAAAAAGAAAAGAAAGGGGGGGAACAGCTTCCTGTTGGAATCCTCACTTGAAGGGAGACTGGGCAGTCGTGCCTCCCCCTGCTCCAGCTGGACTTGGTGTGGAGGCGTTCTCTGACGAGCCATGTCCAAAACCACTTTTACAAGAGCAGTTGGGGTTTGCCTGTGCAGGCAGAGCTGGGATTTAAAGAGGTTTTTGCTCCTCTCTCATCTGCTTTTAATGCACGGCCACGACAGGCAGTATCTCCGAGGTTAAGGCTGGATAAAGGCTGTTCTGTTCCTAAGGTTTGGAATTTTCTTGTAACGACCTAACAGTGACACTCAACCCAAAATTTCAGCTGCGTGTAAAAAAAAAAATGTGGTCTGACCTCGATATATATGATGTGAAAAATGAATAATAGCAGCACTGCAGGCAAAATCTTCCCTGTGACAGCCCAGCCCTGCAGTGGAGGGTTCAGGAATTTGGCTGCGCTTTTGGAAATGGGCCTCGCGATTCCGCCGGAGAGATGTTGGAGCTCAGACAGAGCCCAGCACACAACGGCTTTGTTGGAGGGTTGGCTCTGTGCTTATGGCAGGAAACTGGAGTCAAACCTGACTTTTCTACCTACAGTATGTGGTGGTTTGTTTTGAATGAAGCCAAGGCTGCGTTTCAGTCTTGTTTTTGGAAGTAAAACCGTGCTCCCAGGCTTGGGAACCACAGCAGCTGAGAGCTACAACCACTGGAGATGACAATTAGGGCCTGACTCTCTGCTTCCTTAATTCAGTAGGGATTTCTTCACTTCTTTAAGGACAAACTCCCTTTCTCTGTTAGTCCAGAATGAGCTGTTAAATAAGAACCATACATTCAGAGTAGGTTTAGGTGAGGTATTAGGAAGAAATTCTTCCCTGTGAGGGTGGTGAGACACTGGCACAGGTTGCCCAGAGAAGCTGTGGCTGCCCCATCCCTGGAAATGTTCAAGGCCAGGTTAGAGAGGGCTTGGAGCAACCTGGTCTAGTGGAAGGTGTCCCTGCCCATGGCAGGGGGTTGGAACAAGATGGTTTTTTAGGTCCCTTCTGACCCAAAGCATTCTGTGATTCCATGATGTGTGGTGGTGTGATAAAGCTGACAGGTCCCAGGACCCTGTGATTTCCAAAGGTATCCAGAGCATCTCCACGTCACTGCAGTTTGCAGACACCCTTGCTTGGGTACCCAAGGTACCCAGGTATGTGGCAGCCTTTCAGAGCATTGCCATCCCACCTTTCACCCTGGTGTGGAGCTCCACAGAGCAGAGCTTGCCAGAGGGAATAAGTTGAAGTAAATGAAAAGAAAGTTCAGATGTTTTCGGTCTGAGAGTGAAATTGCAGAAGGCCCTTAGAGCTCTGACTTATTGTGCAATCTCTGTAAGTAATTTGTAATCAAAATACCTTTGCACATGTCACTTCCATATTTCCTGTAATAAAACAGCAAGAGCAATTAAGATTTTGGACCATAATCTTCTACAAGCTTCTAAAAATGAGTGGGCTGGGGATTTTTTTTGAGTTATGGATGAAATAGCCAATTTTAAATTTTTGATTGCTTCAAAAAGGTTTGGTAATAGCTATTTTAATAGATTATTTTTCTTTTAACTGTAGCCTGACAAAACTGTTACTTGGTAACATAATTGATCTGAAGTTGACTTCTTAAAAAAAAAGAAACCTAAGTAAGAAACCAGAAGAACTCTTCACCAAACTGGAAGTTATCTGTACTCTGGTCACCCAGCATGTGACCTACTGGGCTTTGTGCATTTCAAATCAAAAAAGAATCAGTAAATATATTGCCATGTGCATGCAAATGTGTCTAATAACACTCTATGTGTCTGTAATGCTGTTCTGCCACGGTTCAGAAAGTTGTCTGTGGTCTTGGCATTCCTCAGGAAACGTTGGATTAATATAGCTGCCTTTGTCACAGTATTTTTTCCCTGTTTAAGTAGGTGTGTGAAGGCTGGTGCTACGTAAATGAATTACACGGAAGGCTTTGGAGGAAGAAGGGGCTTGTAAACGAGACTGAAATTAATGAATATGAGAATTAGAAATCAAAACTTTATGTTTAGTCTGAGGAGAAACAATTCCTTAAACCGTAACCACATGGCTGTTTCTTGTTTGCATCAACTCTGGTTGACTGTTATTGTCTTCTGGTAATTCTCTGGGGCAGTGGCCTGACTTTGTTGAATGAGCCAATTGTTTTCCTTTGTGTTGCCCATCAAGTGAGTCCCCATCTGGTTTGTATCAGACTGTTTTCACAGCCAACAACTGCTGCCTTTTCTATATCCTGACACTTAAGGGCCCCATGCTATCAAAGCATTGCTGTGATAGCCTGTCTGGCTGGGCCCGTACAGCTGTGCCGTGCAGCTTGAAGCCATTACCCCAGTAATGGTAACTTAGAACTTGAACTGGCTCTTATTCCCACTGGTGTCGTGTGTACAGTGAACAGAATACATTTTTGTTGAACTCAGTGTTCCACACACAAAAAGACAAAAAAAAAGAGTAAAATCCTTTAAAGCTCTCGTTCGACTCTGTGCGATTGGTGAGTTTTTGTTTTCCGGCAGCTTCCTGTATCTAGAGGCAGTTTTGTGTTCTTCTAGAAATTAATAAGCACAAGGCAAGCAATATTTAGTGAAGGCACTGTTGTTATTACTTACTTTTATGGTACATTAAAGCTCAATAAGTGAAAATTAAACAAGCAAATGATTCTTAATGAGGATTTTTCTTATCAGATTTAGGAGAGGTTTCCAGGAAACTTTCCGTGCGTGATAAATGGAGGTTGTGTGAATGATGCTGCACTTTGGATACTCTGCTACTCCCTTTCCAAGTATCTCTCTAAAAATACAGAGCAAGGAACAGTGAGTCTGTACTAACCTGTTTCAGGGAAGGATTGGAGAACTCTGTTGCAGTAGAGTTAAAACTGTGTTGCAGTTTGCATTGCAGAATCACTGAGAGGCCCCAGGCATGATCCAGGTCCTTTCCAGGCTTCCAGCATGGCAGGAGACAGTCCTGTTGCAAGAGATATTGCAACATGTGTCTTCTCTCTCTCCAAGACTGAAAAAAAAATCCCACTATTGCATCAAATAAGAGTGACATTCAAATGATGTGTATAAAGAAAGATGATCTTGAAGCATTTGTTCTCTCCTGCTCTTGTGTAGGCAGTGTAATGATGAGGGGAAACATATTCCACAACTTGTAGATGTATTGAATATTAAGTATATTCTGGATTCGATTATTGTATGATATTTAAGAGAGGGAGAGAAAGGAAATAATGGATAATGTTTCTAAAATTTCTGGTCTTACTGTGAGCATGTGCAAGAAAATGCTGGAAAACAACTTGATTTATCTGACACTTGCAGAGTAAGTGTTCCTGAACCTGGAAGTGCATGTGTGTGTGTATGTGCATAATGTGAATGAATTTGCTTTGAGTAACATACTGGGGAGCCATTAAATTCCATGAGACTCGTGAGATAAACCTTTCTTTGCCATTGTGCTTTTCCTGCTGGCACACACTGGATGTCAGATTAGGATTGTGCAAAATAATTGGGTCTGTGTCACTGTCAGGTGTGTGGAGGGTT